CAAGGGAGGAACCTTTCATTCTTTGTTTTTTTTAAAGGTAAGAAACAAAATAATAAGAAGTTAAAGCCTAGTGGTTCTTATTTGTAGGGCTTCCATATCTTCAGGCTTGACCTAGCTTACACTTGTCTGCCAGTAGCACAGCTCATCTGTATGCTTGATAAGGTATGCTTGAAAGGTTCCCTCTTTGCCCAAAGGACCTGCAGCCTGATTTCATTAAATGTCAGCTATAAATCTTTACAAGGTTTCCGTTATTCTTGGGGCAGCCTGGTCTTTATGTGACTGAAAAACTGAAGGCATGATTGATTTTGGGCAGCAACTATTACATCCGTATCAAATGGTGCTGATTAATTACCTCTGTAAATCAGGCTCTTGACAGCTCAGGTTCTGACCCCCAAATTTCTGAGCACTTGTTGCAGAGTAACCTTCAGTGACTCCTCTGTAGAAGAAGAAGACCATGTGCCACTCCAGCTTAGCTTGGTGCATGTCTGCTGGCCTAGTTAGAATGACATTTTATTTTATTTCAGTGTATGGGCTGTATATTTTGCGCCAGTCCACTGCAAAATTGCCTTTTTACTGAATTAAGAGAAATGTAGCAATTTCTTGGAGTTACATCTGAGAACAGGACAGATCACTGGCTTGTAGAATTGAATTACTGCCTGCTTTTTAGTGAACGTGACAGATTCTCTCTTAAGGGTAAATCAGTAGTAAATTATCCAGAACGCTAACACAGCATTCTGTCCCAGATTCCCATCCATCTACCTTTTATCTCTGAAGCCTTTTTCAATACCTTTTTAAAAGCCCAGCTTTCCGTTTCATCAGCCAACATTTCAGGGAATTTCGTAAAGACAAATAATTCTTCACCAGAAATTGCTGCACTGTGTAGTAAATAGCTCACAGAATGGACTCTAATGCTTTAAATGCTTGGTTTTCAACCTTCTGTGGCATGGATGGTGTTCATGGTCTTTGCCTGCCATTTTCCTATGCCTTTGCCCAGGAAGGCAGGTTTTGGCATGAAGCAGGAGTTGCTTTGAACCTGGCAATATGTACCTGGGGAGCAGGAGGGTAGGGATTTCTTCATTTGGAGCTACTCAGGAGCAATGAAGAGTCTTTGCCTGGGAGACACTGGCTGTTTCCACAGGGGCGTGTTCCTCTTGTTTACCATTCTTTAGTCGGACTAGAAGGGCAGAAAGTGAATTTGCTGGGTCTGGTTGGAGACCCTGCTTGCTGCTGTCTTCAGTAGGTGTGGCAGGTCTGCAGCCATAGAGCCACGTGGGTTGGTGGCCAGGATGGCTTTGTAGCCAAGTGCAAAGCCTTCAGGAGATAGGGTAGTAGTTTGCATGTTTGCTGTTTCCCCTTTACAATGCTGATGTTCATGACTGAAGGAGATTATTTTTCCCCTGGACTAGCTCTTTCATGGCCAGATGTGGCCTTTTTGAGTGGTTTAATGATAGGATACATTTGTGCAAGTTTTCCTCCAAACACTTGAGTGTACATTTCAGGGTTCATTTACTGCTATCACCATAAAATGTCGGTCCCTCCATCTCTATCTTATTTCTTCGCTCAAAGAGGTGCTAGAAGTCCATGAATTTAGAATTATAGAATCACTAAAGTTGGAAAAGACCTCTAAGATCATCAAATCCAACCATCAACCCAGAATCACCCTGTCCACTAAACCATGTCCCAAAGTGCCACATCTACACGTTTTTTGAACACCTCCAGGGATGGCGACTCTACCACTTCCCTACGCAATGTGTTTCAATGGTTGACCACTCATTCAGTAAAGAAATTTTCCTTTTATCCAAAGTAGAGATAGGTGGAGGGAAGAGTGCAGATGGCTAGGGGAAAAGCTTTAAGCTGTTGAAAGTAGGGTGTGACAGTGTTTGAGGTCCCCATTTCTTGGGTCAGCCCATTGTTTTCCATGGCTTGGGTGGAGTCCTGAGAGATGGTTCTGTTTGCAGCTCCCGTTGCCTAGTTGCTGGGCACATGATGACCTACCCTTTAAGGAAGACTGTTTCTCTGCTGAAGAACTTAGGTTGTAAGCTCTTTTTAGCTCTTCATCCTAGCCTTCAGAACACAAGTCATGGCTGGCTGGTTTGAGATGGACTAACTAATGAAGGCTTGAGATCTTCCTAAGAGGGCAAGTGAGGAGATGGTATTCAGGATAACAATGTTGTTTAGTGAGTAGACAAAGTGCAGCTGTTAGCAATATCAGTGCTTTATTTGATGCTGCCAAAGCCATTGATTGACTCAAAATTATTTTAACAATACTTTTTAAAAATTTCATTATATCTTCAGAGGGGAGAAGCTGACCATTGTGAGGAAAATACCCTAAAGTCCCTCTTTCTTGAAATAAATACTTACTCAGAAGGTGGCAGACCCAGCTCAAGTGATGTGTTGTGGGACCCTAAAAGTAGTCCCACAACTATAAATGTTGTTTGTTTATTTATTTAATGAAACTGATTATTTTCTTTAGAATGTTTCAGTGTAAAAGCAACAGAAAGTTGGGTGTTTTATTTAAATGAAGTCTGATACTTAAACTATTTGCTGTGGCACCATCCCTCCTTGTAAATTTCGTCGTCGTGACACTGAGGGATAAAGTGATAAATGGGGTGGCAGGGCACCTTTTCAAATCAATGGAGTGTTAGGGGGGCTGAGGTTTGGGGGGTTTTTAGTAGGAGTATCAGATGTAATTTAGAGTCCTTCAAATTCTGCAGTTCCAATTTTCAAATAACAAAAATGCTGAGTAACATGCCTCTGTAGACCCTTGTCCCTACAACACTTCAAATACCTGTGCTTCAGATTAAGAAATCACTGGTGCACGGTAACTTTCAGCTAATATGTAAAAAGTAAACAGTATCATTATTGAGTTCATCTGTCTTTAATGCAAGCTGATAGTGATCAGATGTGAAAAGAAGCCTAGTATGGGTGATCAGGTCCAGTTTGTGTAGGATGTGCTGTACAGACCTTTTTTATGAGCTGTAGAAACTAGGTTCTGTGTTGTTAAACACCTTTTTTCCCCTCTCTCTCCCTTCCTCTCAATCCTCTTCCTGTTAGGAATGATAGGAAGATCACAGGATGCCAGAGCAGTATAATCCTCATCACTGAAGGAGCAACACAGGGAATGTGCTCAGTGCTAACAGCTGAAAGAAATCTGCTTTGTATGAGCAGCAATTAAAACTGATGGGGAGCGTCAGTGGAACCATGGGGTGCAACAGTTCTGTAGCTGAGCAAAGCTCAGAGAAAGGTGAGTGCTGTCTTTGTCTTTCAGGGTCGGTGGCTGTTCTCTCTGAAGATTGTAAGGTTATATTTCCTCTCAGTCCTGTTGTCAAAATACTTTTTCAGAGAAAATTACTTTCTAGTTAACTTCTTTTTAAAGGAGTGCATAGCTTTTAGGTGCTGGCTGATTTCAGAAGGCAACTGTAGACCACCTCTAACATCTATGGATTGGGTTGGAAAAGATTCACAGCATCTAGAACAGAAGCTGAAATTCAGATGTGTCTGAGCTCACTGTCACTGGCAAAGTGTGTGGGGTAAGATATCAAGGGGGAGCTTATGACTTCATAACACAGGATTCCTGGGTGAACTGCCCAGATTTTCCTGCTGCTGGGTGACCCTGATTATGAAATAAGTGTAATAAAGCAGAACTATTACAATTAGTCTCAAAATAATTTTCTGCCATACCAAGTGCCTGGCCTGAAATTTTCCCTGACAGTTATTAAGCTGTCAGTTGAAAGTGTCTTATCATATTGGATTAAATGTTCGATTGAAAACCTAATGCATCATACCCCTGCTTTTAATCATACCACCCCCTGGTATGAACACACCAGGCTTTCCACAGGCATGTGAGTCCAGGATTGGCTCAGACCTTTGTTCAGAACCTCTGTCTTGTATTTCAAGGTTTGTCATTAAAGTCTGATTTAGAGGTCTATGAAGACCCATGTTAGATGGCTCTGTGCATAGTCTTGGGTGATCATTATGCTGAAGAACCATCACTGAAAAGGAAGGCTCTTTTTGGCTGCCAATTCAGGACACAAGGAAGCAGGAGCACTTAGTCATGGCTACAGGGATCCAATCTGACTGGATGAAAAGTGGATTAAAAGCTGGACATGAGCCACCAATATGCAATTACAGCCAGAGGGCTGTAATCAGCAGCACCCTGGGCTGCATCAAAAGAAGTGTGGTCAGCAGATCGAGAGAGGTGATTCTTCCCCTCTACTCTGCTCTGGTGAGGTCTCACCTGGAATACTGTGTCCAGCTCTGGAGTCCCAGCAGAAGAAGCATGTTCAGAGGAGGGCTATGAAAATGATTGGAGGGCTGGAGCATCTCTCTTACGAAGGCAGGCTGAGGGAGTTGGGGCTGTTCAGCCTGAAGAGAAGACTCTGGGGGGACGTTACAGTGATCTTCAAATACCTGAAATGAGCCTATAAGAAGGCTGGGGAAGAACTGTTCACAAGGGCGTGTAACGATAGTACATGGGTAATGGTTTCAAGCTAGAGAAGAGTAGATTTAGGTTGGACATTAGGAAAAAGTTATTTACTATGAGGGTGGTCGAGCACTGGAATGGGTTACCTAGAGAGGTGGTGGAGACCCCATCCCTGGGGATATTCAAGGTCAGGTTTGATGGGGCTCTGAGCAGATAAGTCTAGTTGGAGATGTCACTGCTTATTGTAGAGAGATTGGACTAGATGACCTTTAGAGGTCTCTTCTGACCCAGTACATTCTATGATTCTATGATTGGTTTAAGGGTAGCTTTGAGCTTTGTGTACAGCACTTGGCAAGCACAGCAGCATTGGTGCTGTATCACAGCAGTAGAAATAAAATGGAAACATCTGGAGTCCCTTACTAACCTGTAACTAGGAAATGGACCTTCCTGTTTGGGTTTGCATGCTATGCTCATGTGTGCCCTACAAGGCCTCAGAGATTAGTTAGTTGGGAATATTTTTGAGGGTGCAAAAGCTTGGAGTGGGAATGAGGAGCTGTATCTTAGTCTACAACCATCAATACACAATTGTGTGGAGCCAGGCTTCACTACCCCAAAGCTGGCTGACAATTTGCTGTACTTGTTTGACAATGTTTTGTGGTCTTCAGTTGCTGGATGGTATCTTTCAGCAGTCAAATTATGCTGAACTATCATTCTGTCTGCAGCCTCAGGCTGTGCATCCCTCTGATGCGTTAGTAACATGAATTTAACAGGTACTTGCTGGTGTAGAGACCTTCTGCAGCTAGTAACAGTCTCTTTTACAGATGCAGTTTAGCCTAGTGTGAAAATCACATTGTGATTCAGTCCTGAGAATAGCAGCATTGTAATAAGTACAATTGTAAAAAAAATAAATACAGGAAGTATACTGCTTGATTTGCAACATTAATTGTAGCGGTGGATACATTTCTGTCTTATGTGATAGGAGGGGAACTGTGCTGTGTTAAGTGCTCAGGACCATTACAAAACCCAGGGGGGCTTTAATGGTAATGTTAATGGTTCTGATGCTAGAAATCAGTCTCTGTGCTGGTGGCTGGGCTTTGCCCCTTAGGTTCTTTTCTAAACAAAAAAGTTGATGACAGCCTTGTTATGATATGTCAAGCTTTCAGGCCTGTAGTGGTGAGGAATTTCAGAAAGGACAGAAAATAAGAGAAATCTCAGAGTTTATTTAGGCTACAAAGGATGGTCTTAGTCATAGAAGCATTATTTCCTTCAGGCAGGAGGATTCTTCTAGGATGGATGTGATATCTGTAGAATGGAAGTCTACTGATTATGGCCTTGTCTGGACTAGAAAACTTTACCATTTTTACTATACTGTATACTTACTAATGATAAAATAAGCAAACAATGTGCTATTATGGCACCTGCAAACATTTTTATAAAAAAGCTTCCTTAATGTTGTACATTTATAAATAGAATCACCCTTCCGTGGAGGGTTTTTCTTTACCTGCATAACTGTCATTTTAAGAAAAAAAATAATCCTCACTCACGGCTGCCATTCATCCTAGTCTCAAAATTCCTGGTATTTGTGATCAGCTAAAATAACTGCCTAGTGTAAACTGTTGTCCCTCTAATACAGAGCTTTGCTTTGCTATTTTGCAGGAGAAAAAACATCAGTATGAATTACTGGTTGTTATTTTTTGTTCCATTTTGGTTTTCAGTATCAAGTATTCAATTTGGCAACTGTAAGAAAATAAAAGCATATTCCTGTTAAGACATTAGTGTCAGTTTTAGTTTCCTTTTTTTCATGAATTTGCAGTGCTGTGAGGTAGTGATTGTGTCAAATTCTGGAATTCAGGAGAATTTCTCAGCTTTGTTTCTCCTGATCGTCTGTTCATCTGCTCAGAAATGAGCTCTAGTTCTTGGGAATATCAGGAGCTAAGACCTGTGTGTCCCTTTGGTCCTTGTACCTTTACCAGAGTGCCCTGCAGCTCCTTTGACTTCCCCCAATATCAGAAGCATAAACACTTTTTTCTGTATTCTCTGAGATATTTAGGGTTGAGTTCTTTAGGAGACTTCTTGAATTGAGGTGTTAGCTGCAGGGATGGAGGCAAAGGCTTGACATTTCTGGCCCTGTCTACTTATTTACTGGTACCCTGTTGAGAGTACAGGGAAAAAGAGGTAAGGAACCAGTCAAGAAAGAATCATGTTCAACTTTTAAGTGAAAACGTGACAACTCATGGTCTTCTGACATGTCCTACAGAATTATTGGGGGGACTGTTCCTTTGTTCACCAAGCTAGCCAAAGACATAGCTGTGTGCTTTTTGGTTTGTTTATTTAAGCATCTTTTCTGCCCTTCAATACCATTTGTTAAAATTTTATCCTAAGGTTTGAAGTTTGCTGGCTTGCTGATCCAGCTGTGCAGGCAAAAACTTCTTCTTAAGGGAGGCTGTTAAAAACTGTCAGTCCTCAGTGCTCACACTACACCTTGCAGTCTGAAGATTTTTACTGGAGCTTGGTAAATAAATACATTTTGTTGGTAGGCCAAATTGTTCTTCTTCCTTTCCC